ATCCTCACAGAAATTGATATAAGATGTGACAATGTCAGCGAGTTCATCCAGGTCTGTAGCTGCAGACTCAAATACACTCCAGTCTGTGCAGTCAAAGCAGGCCTGTAGCTCTGACCGAGCCTCCTCAGTATAGCTCTGCACTGTTTTGACTACAGGCTTCACAGCTTTAAGTTTCTGCCTGTAAGTTGGAATAAGATGGACCATACAGTGATCAGAGAGTCTGAGGACTGCGCGGGGGACAGAGTGATAGGTGTCTTTTATTGTTGTGTAGCAGTGGTCCAGTGTGACTTTGCAGTGTGCGGTCATTGAAATTTGTTCTGATTTATGTTCTTCACACAAAATAAGGCAAGGATTTTTTTAGCCCGAAAAAATAATTACAAGTATTTTTTTCTTTAAATGAAAGGTGAAAACATGTATTATTTACCAGAACAGACCACAAGGGTTTTAAAGACTGAGCTGTGCTGCAGGACTGGACTCTGTATTGTCTATGTGATGTGTTTCATGATGCATTTCAGGTTTAATTTTTATGGGTAAGAGGTTGGATGTTAATGTTCCAGAACAACAAATAGAACACATCTCTCTCAGCACTGTCTCCACTGCTGCTCTCCTAACGTCTGCCAGGTGTGTTTGCTCAGTGACTGGCTCACTGTGTGATACTCACACCTTTCTGCCACACCTCCTGTTCTAGACTGTGAACAGGGCAGTTTGTTGTGTCTGCTTCTCAGACAGATTGATTACAGTGTGCATATGTGTGATTAAGACATTACATTATATCCCTTACCAGGTTAACCCACCTCCACCTGAAAACCAGTATATCCTGATCTTAGTGCGATAGAGACAGAAAATCAAACAGTTTCACCGCTTGTGCTACAAAGAGGGACAGGAATGCAAAATAGGGGAGGGCAATGGTGGGGAAGGTGGCAGTTTTTATCACTAAACACATGGTCGACCACCGCACTACTCGCCTCACAAATACACTAGATTATGCCAGACATGCTGAGCAGCACTTTGGATAAAAATTATTAACAAAATCATGGTTATGAGGGAGCAAATAGGAAAAGAGGTAGAAGATAGGAAAAGAAGGAAGGGAAAAGTATTCCTTAGGGACAAATAGGAAAAGGGATTTTTATGCGAGACCCAGACCCGAAGCTCCTGCCAAACCAGTCCAACCATCAAGAGAGAGTCCAGGACCCTCTGCTCAACCTGGAAAGGCAAGGGAAATCCCCGTATGGGTCCTTGCCTACCCTAAACCATTACAACAAAACTGTTGCACCGCTGTATATTGTAATAACCTCACAAATGTGTGATATAAATACATCAAGTAAATCATCGCTCGATCACCTAATGATACTTAGAACTCGCCAAACATGCAGAAAGCCATTTTAAGGAAAAGAAAGAAGGCAGAAAGAAATCTACTGCATTGGTGTTAATAGCTCCTAGAGAAGAGAAGTTTCTGCTGTTTATTTCCAGAGGGAACAGTGTCCTGGCGGTGGCTGCATGGGAGGAGGAGCACACAGAGGCAGAGGTAGAGGCAAAGGAACGGGACACTGGAGCTGACCTGACAACCAACCGTGTTACATGTGCAGTAAGCTGGTCAGTGGGCACTTGAGAGTAGGAAAAAAAGAGAGGCAATGATGGAAAACAGGGCTGGACTGATCAGGAGCAGACAGGTCAGAGGTCCACAAACATATACACACACAAAGGAACTGTGCGAGTAAAATGATATATTAAACTTACAAGGTGTTATAATACTATGTTTTGTGTTGTTTTAATTTATTTCATTTGTTTGTTTTTTTTTACACAACATCATCTAAAAATAAACAGGGAGACATTGAATTCTTATGTGACTGTACTTTAAACATTCCCCAAGGCCAGAGAGCTGCCTACAGCTGACTAACTTGGCATCTTTCATGCACACTCTTTTCTCACAGGAGGGGAATGAAGTCTTCCGGTTCTTGTACCATGCTAACTCTGAGAGACGAGGCAGTCCAAGTAGCTTCAATACAGTGCTGATTTATTCAATGAACACAGGTAAAAGTTAACATTACATGCTCAGGTATCTTGCACCCCCCAACCTGCACGCAGGCAGCTGAAGGATGAAAGACCCTGAACCAAACCAGGCCTATACATTTATCTCTTTGGTTGGGCTAGCCCCATTCTACACAGGAACGTCAACCGTGACGTGTCCCTGGTGCCAGCTTTGCAGCTGGCCATAGCAGTAGTCAAAACATGAAGAAAATCAATGTGTGTGTGTCTGTTGATTAAGTGGTGTGAAGTCCCAGACTTCTTCTCAAGTCCAGATAGTGGAAAGAATTTCAGTCACACAAATATCAAAGTGCACTTAACTTCCTCCATGCACATTCAAATGGTGTGACAATATACTGATATGTATCTTCAAGGCTTGTATTTTTCATTGTTTATCACATGACTGCTTGAATTTTGAAAGAGCAGTTTGAGCGTTTGCAGTACTCTGTTTTTTGAGCCCAAGCTTATTGCATTAGCTTCTGACTTGCTAGTTTGCTAAAATGCTGAGGGTGTAATGGGAAGCCCGTGAGGGATCAGGTCTTCATTCCTTCACTCTGTTACTTGTCCTGGTTGGTCAAGATGTCATGTTCCTGTCTGTCTACATCCTTCTCAGGCCAAAAACAGAGTAATTGCAAATCAAATGTAACAGTATCAAAGTTTTGTATCAGATTTGTTTGAGTAACTGCACTGATTCATGTTTACCCACAATCATCTGGGATTACCAACAGTCACTTCAGTGATGCAAACCTTATGACGACAGTCCTTAATCTCTTTATTGCCGGCACTGAAACAACAGCAACCACACTGAGATGGGGACTTCTGCTAATGGCCAAGTATCCAAAAATACAAGGTAACAAGCTCAGAACTGTCAGATTTGGCATGTGATGCTGCCAAATAGCATTTGTGGTAAACTCAATTATAAGACCAGACGGACTGAGGTAAAGGAAGATTCCTTTACTTGTTGCAAACAAACAAACAAGCAGTACAAAGTCCAGGATACAATCGGGTAATTAAGACAGTCCAAGGTCATCACCGGTAAACACGGATAGTGTGAAGTACCAAACTTCTTCTCGAGTCCAGATAGTGGAAAGAATTTCAGTCACACACCAATATCAAAGTGCACTATTACCTTTTTATTGCAGATATATCTGGAGATCATACAGCAAGCAGGAGGGCAGATGATCTGAAGTGAAACTACCTTAGACTGTGTGTTTTATGCTAGTTTCCCCCTCCCCTACACATTGTCTCATCCTGCAGCTGAAACCAATTGATACTAGCCAACATTCTTTCTTATAATACACATCTGTAGCTTGTACACCTCCTCAAAACCAAAGTTACATTCTTGTGATAAGAAGAGCACACACACAATGATTTAATGAGCATTCTGTGAGATTGTGAAGATTATATTATTAAAACTCATCCTTTTAAGTGCATTTAATGAAAAATAGTGGAGTGTTGCAAACAACTGGATATTCCACTGTGTGATCATTTAATTTCCTTAGGTGATTCCCTTGGAGCAGGGCTGTCCTAAGCACAACTCCTTACAAGTGCATCTTATAATGAAGTGAATTCACACACACTACAACTATGTGAAGGTTATACTTTTGTCTCATAATACAGTGTCTTATTAAAATACCAATATCCAAACTATGTTAGTGCCTTAGTTATATAGCAACCTAAATGCTTCAATATTTCACAACTGCCATGAGATCTAAACTTGAGAAGTCAGGTAGGAGATATCAGAAGGTCGGTACACTTGCAGGCAATCAGAATCTGGGAGGGAATAGGCAAAACACAGCAAAAACAGCAATCCAGGGTCAGAAACTAGAGAGTCAGACTAAGAATTAACGCTGGAGAGTCAGAGCTGGAGTCTAGAACAATCTGGCAGCGTTCTAGTGAGGAAATGCTGCCTTTATGCTGTTGGACACAGGTGTGAGTAATCAAAAGCATGTGAAACCTATGAGCACTGATTAAACTAAAGAGTCCGTAAATGAGATGCGACCAAAAGGAAGCGGTGACAAAATAAAAGCACGCGATAGCAAGCAGACAAGGCAGAATCGTGACACAGAACATCAGCAGCTTTCGTAGAGCGACAGTCCATCAGTCCAAAAAACAATATGTGCTTCATCGACACAAAAATCATTTTTATAAACACAACAACGCTTCATGTTCCAGACCAGGTCCAAGAGGAGGTGAACAGGGTGATAGGGAGTCGTCAGGTGCAGGTCGAGGACAGGAAAAACCTGCCCTTCACTGACGCTGTCATCCATGAGACACAGAGACTGGCCAACATCGTCCCCATGGCGCTTCCTCACAAAATGAGCCAAGACGTCATTTTCCAGGGTCACTTCATTGAAAAGGTCGGACTGAAGCAAACTAATAATATGAATGATCCACCTTGACTGAAAACAACAAATTAAAGAGACGAGAATAGAGAAATCAATCAATAGATTTACATCTTAATGAATACCTGTTCATTAATGAGTGAACGGGTGTTGGTTTGATGGTTATGCTATTCACCTTGGGGTGTCAGAACACAGGATCAAATAACTTGTCTCTTC